TCCAAACCATTCTATGATTCTATGACTTAAAGTGGCCTTATAAAGAGAGGGATGTTGTACAAAATGCAACTCATGTACTTCTCGGCATTTCTGCTCCAAGAAACAGCTGGAAGTGGAGAAGGAGACGGAGGGAACTGCGCACACACCTTGGTACCAACAGGCTTCACCACAGCATGAAGGTCTCACTTCCAAGGCTGTAGCGGGCGAGATAATTGTGGCCAGGCAGCTCCAACAGCCTCCAAAGCTGCAGCAGGGACACCCTTGTTAGGTGCAAGGGAATAACATACTGGGGAGGGGTGCGATGCAGAGAAGTAGTGCAACCTCCACCCTTGAAGATTTTCAGAGCTCAACTGGAAAAGGCCTTGAACAATATGATAGAGCTTTTGAGTACACCTTGCTTGGAGCAGGTTCTTTAGATGACCTCCAGAAGTCATTCTGTTCCTATGGTTTTGAAAGGCATTACTAAAACCTAACGTTCCACATAGGTCTAGTTAACAAAGTTCCAAAGAAAAATCAAATTGAAGCAGCTCCAGAGAAGGCCTGCTAGGAAGGTTTTGAGAATGAAAAACTTGTTTTATTAGCATTTAAAAGTTCTTGGCTTGCTTTTCCTAGCAAAATGGAAGTTTGGAGAGGACATACCAATTGCACTGATGAAAGTAACTCTGGGGAAGGAATGTAACTCAAAAATACCTGGTACAAAATAAAAAAATGGAATTACATTAAAAAAAAAAAAAAGTTAAAACTGGAGAAGTTTCCAGACAACAGAGTAACACCTTAAGAGCAGGAGTAGGGGATCAAACTGTCAGGAAGCTCAAGAGATGTGTAAGAGCTGTTTGACCCACACTGGTATACTTGGGGTGTTATGAATTAAAGCTTGCAAGCAGCATCATCTCTGGACTGTATTTTAATGAAATCTGGTTCTTCAGAATTCCCACTGGCCACCTGGAAAGGACAAAGATTTCTTCTTTCACTTCAATATAAAACTCAGCTTCTACGGAAAGATCATTTTCATCTGAAGTACCAGTGTGTCATCACAATGAACAAAACCTCCAGTACATGCAAGGACATCAAGACAACTGGTGGAGCTTCCTCCTATGTTTAAGGAACGCTGGCCCTCTGTCCAGGAAAGTGTACGGGGTTGGGTGGGACACTTCTTACCTTCATTTATATGAGGATGTCTGGGCCTGGATCCTGCTCCTGTGTTATGTAGAACTTGGGAGTTCTCCAGGACTATAAACCATTAGTGCTTAAGATTTTCTGTGCAACAGATGTTTAATCTGGATATTTTTTTGCAAAACATCTATTCAGCTGTCAAAAGAACCTCAGTGGTCCATTTCATTTGATGTTCCTGAAGGTGGGCACCTCTCAGTCATGCTGTTTCTTCAAAGCACAATGCTGTAGGGGATTTCAGTTTTCTGAGCACTGAGTTCATGGATATCTTGTCCTAGCAGACCTGAGAAGCTGGCTATCCAGCGAACTCAGAAACCGAGTCACCTCGGCCACTCTAAGTGGGAGCCTCCAGCTGGGAGGAGAAGGGAAAGGCATTGTCCTTGCTGCTGGCCCAGGGCCAGATAGGACTGTGCACTGCAGGGCTCCAAATTCTAGCACTCTAATAAAATTACCTGAAAGAGCAAGTTGATCAAAGCAATGCAAACCTGAGGGAGTCACACCAGGACAGGGGTCACTTTATTTTCAGCTACTCGAGGAGTTCTTCTGCTGTCGCAGTTATGGCTCAAAGAAACAGCAGCAAAATTGTGCAATAAGGTGACTGCTAGAAAAGAATCTAAAGTCCAGCTTCCTCCCTCTGATGATCACAGCCCACTGTGAGCAGCCTAGGAGGCCAGCTTCTTCTAAAAGGATCCTCAGCCCCTGACTGTTAGCATGGTGACAACTCTATCTGCTTAGGGAGACTTCATATTCAGGAACCTCACTGCACTGGCAATCCCCTACCCCCAGCCCCCTGAGAACCACCAAGATTTCTTCCCCTGTGCTCACACTCACACAGGCACTGTGTTTTCTTCTCTGCATAGCTCAAATTCCTGACTTGGCTTTCTCTAGCCCAAGGTCAGTATCTTGGAAGTTTAAGTCCTGATCTCCTTTTCCATAACTGAAGGCTTATTTTTAAGTTACTGCCAGGTTCTTACTGGAGACAACCTGCTAGGCAGGATGTTCTGGTCATCCAGGTTTAGCATATGAATATATCCCAGATGCAAAAAGGGTACTCACACTTTTACCTCACTAAAAACACACAGCAACCCTCCCATCATATCAGGCATAGTTCCTATTTCTTTTAAAAATAAATATTTATAAACAAAAGGAAGAGATTCAGAGAACTACAATGTTAAAAATTTTCCTGCCAACAGCACAAATGTCTTTTTCATGTAAAGTCACAAGAACAAGTTGTACACCAACACAACAAGCACTGTCTAAAGCCCTCTCTCCTCATCAGCTGCCATAGTCCTCCACTGCAGGAATCCACATCTCCCATCGCAGCAGGCAGCTCCTCCACACTTCTCCAGGACTTGTTCTGGGGCTGTTCAATCTCCTTTTGTGATCAAGTCCTCTATATACGCATCCAGTTCATCATCTGTGTTAATATCAATGTCCTGAAACCAAAGGCACAAGAAATACCAGTGAAAAGTGAATCTTGAAGAAAAGTGCAAGAACAGACGAGACAGAGCAGCACAGCGCCCTCTGCAATATCTGCCCTGGTCAGCCTGTACGCCCTGACTCCCAGCACTCTCCAGCTGCTGACACCTGCTGTGAAAGCACCACCAGCTTTCCTTATCAGAGCCTGATGGACACCTGGACACCAGTCAGCACTTGATGCTCAAACAATGCATTCAAGCAATAGATTTACTGTGCTGATCATGCTCAAGCAAGTAATTTATTTTTAACACACATTTTCCTAATAGGGAGCAGCTGCTTCTCTCTGCTTTCAGTAGCTTTCCCATTGGGTGGTCTTAATTTTTTTTAAAGTAGTTTTTTATTTAAAGATTATTTATTTCAACCTTTTAATTAAATATGTTTGCTATTTTAATATTTAATAGTATTATTAATAAATAGATTTCACCTTAAAATTTTCTATATTAAATATTGTTTGTTTAAAGGTTTGCATTTCTATCCATGGCGTTCAGAATCCAGAACCACCTTTCTGCCCAAGAATGGGGCAAAAATTCCCTGCAGAACACTGCCTATGCCCAGGGAAATTCTCCTGCAGCTGCATGTTTCATAGCAGAAAAGAGAAAAAAACCAGAAGCTGTGCACTGTGTACATGCCACAAAAAATCACTGTGTGAAAATGAACACCCAGCAGGACCCCCCAAGGCCTGGATCCTGAAAAGTGGGCAGTGAGAGCAGCTGTGTGCTCAGCTGCTTCTGACGGCCTGAGCCAAAGCTGCACCTAGTTGAGAAAGAGCTGAAGCCCAGTTCAACGCTGGACTGACCCATCTCAAGTGCCTGGAGGGGCTGAGGCTGGGGAAGGTTGGTACTGGAGGGGCAGCTCTGGTTTCACACCTCTTCCTCACCCACCTCCTGCACTTTCTGCAGAAGGGCCACTATGTTGGTCCTCAGCTTCTGCAGTTTCTCCTCTGTTTCCTTCAGCTTTTTCTCTGAGTTGCGGAGGTTTTCTTCACAGGCTTTGGCCCGGGCATCGGCACGTGTCTGATATGAATTGCACAGATTCTGCAGACCTACCTCATACTGTTTGAAATATTCTTTCTATAGAAGACAAAACAAATGACATGTTAAGAAGAAGAACTGAGCGTCAAGAAAACCCCAGCACTCGCAGCTTGTACAGGAGTCCAGCTACCGGCATCCCGTGACTGAACACCGCCAGCCTAACACCATGCCCCAGCACGCCCTGCCTGTGCTCATTACCATGCTCACATTTACATTTCTGATTTGCCTACTGCAGGCAGCACAAAAATCACACGGGTTTTCACATTCCTCAAAGACCAGAACTTCAACAAAAGCTGCCTGAATTCGAATTAAGGATGCAGCCTGTTCTAAGAGGTTTGAAACCACAGTTCTGCTGTAGAAAGATCTCACAGCCTCCGCATGCGGTGAGTTTCCTTAGTACAGACCACCCAGACAACACAGCTCATTACTGCCAGGTAGGAACACCTACACTTGCAGAAAACTCCAGACAAGACCAACGTGCCCTGCAGAAGCAGCAAACGCTTGAATTAGCAGAGAGAAAAGAGCAAGAGATAAGAGACACCACCAATACATACATTGTGAGGGAGGGAGCAGGGCATTTTGAAGACTACCAAACAAGCAGTGGCTTTTGTCACCTACAGATGCCTCCTGAAAAGGTCTCTCTTCATGGTATGGCAGAGAAGAGAGTCAAAGAAGCCAGTATCATTCTGACACCATCCTACTTCTGACACCAGTGTAGAGGTGGGGGTGGGTCTGTTCAACCAAGGACCAAGGGACAGGACAAGAGGAAATGGCCTCCAGTTGTGTCAGGGGAGGTTGAGATTGGATGTGAGGAAGAATTTATTTGCTGAAAGGGTTCTCAGGCATTGGAAGGGGTTGCCCAGGGCAGTGGTGGAGTCCCCATCCCTGGAGGGATTGAAGAGTCGTGTAGACATAGTGCTGAGGGACATGGGTTAGTTGGGGACTTGGCAGTGTTGGGTTCATGATTGGACTCTGTGATCTTAAAGGGCTTTTCCAGTCCAGACAATTCTGTGATTCTGTGATTTATCAACATTTCAGCCTGCATTGGACCTTCAACACCAGCACACAGATACTGGAGCAGGCTCAGCCCCATCTGTTCCTTGCTTAAATAAACAGAGGCCACACCAAAAGCCGGAAGATGTACAGCTGACTCACAGGCAGTCAGCTTGCTCACCTGGAGAAGTGTGAGGGGGGATGGCTTCTGTGTTTTCTCCCATTTTTACGACTGCCTCCACATAAGTTAGATTTATAAGGCTGGGGTCAAAACAAACAGATATGTGTACATCCCATTTCTGCAAACCTCTAACCTGGCCTCTCTTTTTTTAAGAGCTTAACAGCAACGGACAAGAAATCAGGATAGTAGCAGCCAACAGCTTTCCCACACAGATGTATGGTAATTAAAAAAATCCTCAGACAGCAACCAGTCAAAATACCTAAGGCATGTTTCAGAGGCTCTCCTTTTTCTCAGCTACGTTAGTCTGCTAAGGATCCAAATAACCTTTTAAAGAGCATGATCTTGCATCAACAGGATGCACACTTGCCGTAAGAATGGAATAGATGTGGGGAAAAGTCCCAAACTTTTCTATAAATACTGAACTCACCAATGGAAAAGCCAACAACCCGTCCGAGCTCATGGAACTCAGCTCACTCTTGGAGATGGGAAAATTTGGAGGTAAGAAGTACCGCAAACAATTTCTATGCAGGAAAGAAAAACACAAAGCCAGAACTGGAGTTTAGAGGACTAAATCAATCAAACTGCAGCAGCTCACAAGAACTGCAGTGAACTCACCGAAGGATCTGGACTAGTAAGTCTACTGTTTCTTGGCTGCTGCTGGGACCAGTGGTGTCTGGCTCAATTCTGACACAGTCTGAGGTAGAAGGTTCAGCCACAACAACCTCCTCTTCCTGCTGCGTATCTGGAGCCTGGTACTCAGGAGAGGGAGGCTTCATCAACCTCACATCCTCACTGTCCTTCTCTACCCTGAAAAAAAAAATTAAGGGAAAGTCAGGTTATCTTTTTCTACATTTGGCCATATCTGAAACACTATGAACAGCTTCATCAGAACCTGTGCCCAGCTGTGACTTTTGAGACCTCCAGATTACACAACAACTGCCTTCAGAGGATCATATCAAAGTGCTGGGCAGACTGTAGAGGCTGTCATACTCATTCCTTACAAAGCAGCTGGGCAGTCCTGAGCACACACACACACACCCTGACATGACAGTAACATATGTGTCTTCGGCATCTATGGAAGTAAAATGGGGTCTTCCTCCTGAAAGCAAAACAAGCCTCCAAAAGCCAGTGGCTATGGATAGTTACCAGCGATCCCTTGGTGTGGTGTCTGTTGGAACGTAATCAAACTTCACCTTCCAGCGTACTGCGTGCTTGCCCATTTCCACAGCTGTGACACGGCCTGTGAACCACTCCTTGTTCACGCGCACTTCCACATGCAGCCCTTTATCTGCAAGGAGGATGACAGTAAAGATGTTTGCAAACATTCAGATGCTGGAGAGCACATTCTGTGTGATCTCTAGAGAAGACAGACACTCTCAGTGGGAAGCATACCTAAAGCCGTGACAATTCCTCCACATGGTACATGAATGTGTTGGGTTTGTGTGTGGGGCCTTTTTTGTAGTGGAGTGTATTGGGTCTGGCTGGGAATAGGGTTAATTTTCCCCACAGCAGCCCCCAGAGCGC